CTGGTCACCCTTCGTCCCTTCTGACCTGTCAGTGACGTCCTGCTCCCTCTGATGGACGCCCCCCCGCCCCCCCCACTCCTGTCATGGGACATCAGTAGCTCCAGGAACAGCTGTTGTGTGTGCCAGGCACTGTACCAGGCACTCTGCGCAAGGCTTGGCATAGCCTGCTGTCTCTCGCCCCCATTTCACAGATGGGGAGACTGAGACTTTGCAGTTTGCTAGGACCTGGCTGGCCCCCCTTGGGTCCAGGTTATTGTGACTGCTATGGCCTGCGTGCCACTGGTTCTGCACAGGCCTGGCTCTTCCTGACCTGTGTGACCTCCTCCGTCTTCTGGGCTCGATGGGAATCTCTGTTTCCTGCTCGTGGTTTTTTTTCTGGTTGAAACTGCACTTCCCTCAATTCTATTTCAAGTCTGGCAGAGACAGCGTTTCAGGGCCGTGGAAAGGGCAAGCCTGTGAGGGCCTGAGCTGGGGGTTGGGGGCCTCAATGTCCATGGCTGCTTTGCTGGACAGAAGTTCATTTGACAGCGTCAGCTGAGGCAGTGACGTCTTGGAACCTGGCGGCGTCTCCTTTCCTGAGAGCCTCTTTCTGCTGCGTTTGCAGGCTCAGCATGTTCAGTGGACACACGTTCTGCAGTACGATCTTGACAGATTGTCCAAAGAGGTTTTTCAGGCACACGCTGACTCAGATACTCACCCACAAGCCTGTACTGAAAGGTGGGTCCAGGGCCCAGTTTGCTTGGGGACCGTGGCCTCCCTTGGGAGTTTGGGCCCTGTGTTAACGCTCTAAGACACTTGTGATCATGAAGGACACTATCATTAACTGTCCTTTCATTTGAAATGAATGCATTCTTATAAAGAAAATTTAGAACTAAAGAAGTGTGGAAAGAACTGTCACTCCTTATCTCATCGCCAAAATAGAAATAATCTTGAACATGAAGTCTTTCTTCTGGTCTTTTCTAAATAGATTTCTGAAAATATATTTATACTTTAAATTCCAGAGCTCTGTTTCTGTCATTTGTCCTAAGCGTTTTCTTATGTAGTTGCATGACGTTCTTGGAAGTGTTTCCTACTCATGTCATCTTCTACCAATGAGTGTCCTTTGGCTGATGTCACCCAGCCCATTAGTGGCAGAGTGTCTGCAAGTTTCTGTTACTAATGAGGCCGAGCACCTTGCCCACCGAGCTGTCCTGGGCAGTCGCCCGTTCCCGGGCAGGTCCTCTAGTGGGACCTGGGTGCCCCCGACAACTTGTGCTGCACGTCTCGAGGGCCTTTCAACAGTATCCTCACTGGTTGCTTATTGCACTTTAAAAGCAGCAAAACTAACATGTAATCAAAGGATTAGAAAACATTTATAACAAATGTGATAGGATAACCGAATGGTGACTGGGCCCGACACAAGCGTTTCATAATATAGAAAATGGTTAGCAAATAGAAATGGGGAACCGCACTAATTGAAAAAATGAAAATTAACACAAGGTAGCTTTTTGACATGGAAGCTCTGAAACAGTTCTCTGGTGCTTGCTGCTTTGATATATTTTTGTCTGTTTTCCTCCTGGATGAAGTTTCTGATGCTGTTCAAATGCAAAAAGAGTGGAGCTTTGCCAGGACCCACCCCCTGCTGACCAGCCTGTACCGCAGGGTGAGTGTCGAGGTGGCATCCATGGTGGGTCATCTGAGATCTGCTTCCGGAAAGCTCTGTGGGGCCTGGACCCTCACAGATACAGCTGTCCACGTCTGGGCCACCAGAGCTGACCGCTGCAGAGGAGACAGGCACTGTGTCTACTGTTGTAGCTCCCCGTTCTGTTGGCCGGAAGTGGGAGGGGGGGAGGGTCCGGCTCCTGCCCAGCCAGCGTTTCGCTTGCACAGCTGAGGGGGCCTTTGGTTTCAGCTCTTCGTGATCCTGAGTCCAGAGGAGCTTGTTGGCCATTTACAAGAAGTTCTGGAAACACACGAGGTGAACTGGCAGCATGTGCTGTCCTGCGTGTCTGCACTGGTGACCTGCTTCCAGGAAGCACAGCAGCTGGTAACCGGTGCGCTCTGGTGGGGTCCTGTGGTGTGTGTGCGACTCGTGTTGTCAGCCAGACCCCAGTGTTTGCGGATGAGCCTGTGGCGAATCGCAGTGTCCACCTCAGCGAGGATGAAAGTCCTCAGCTGCCCAGAAGGTGCCCTGTGCCCTGTGGGCTGCACTCCGCCGGGCTGTCCCTGGGGCTGCCTGCTGCCTCGCATAGTTGGTGTTTGGCTTCCTCTGTCCCTTGAAATTGGCACTTGGGGGTGCCAGTCCTAACCAGGAAGTGGCTGTTTCCCCTGGATGGCCCACCTATCAGCTGTGACTGGCCGTTCTCGCCTAGACTGGGCTGCCCGTTTGCTGGCCCGAGCCTTTGAGAGCTTCGACCTGGACAGCATCGTCACCGTGTTCCTGGTTGTGCGTCAGGCTGCGCTGGAGGGCCCCTCCNTGGGGATTTAAGGTTTACCCCACGCGTGGGTCCAGTAGCGCTGGGTGACTAGCGTTCACTTAGCTTAGCTCCAGGACCGCATAACCGCACTGAGCAAGAATCAGCCCCAGGAAACGAGCGCTGGGGCAGTGCCGCCAACTGAACCAGACTTCCCTCGGATTTCACCGGTTTTCCCCATATATGTCCATTTTCTGCCCCAGGATCGCATTCAGTCTCCCCGTCTTCTTAATCTACCCCCGTGGGTGACCGTTTCTCGTCTTTCCTTGTCTTTTCTGACCTAGACATTTAGAGGAGGCTGGTCCATCATTTTTTAGAACGTCCCTCCAGTTGGGTGTGTCTGACATTTTCTCAGGATTGGATTGCGGTTTTGCATTTTGGGCAGGAATCCCAGGGAAATAGCGTGCCTCACGTTAGGGGGTACCGGATGTCATGAGGTGTCCTTACCTGAGTTTTTAAATAGTGCTGTGGTTTTTAAAAAACTGATCCCCCCCCCCCTTAGCGGGACGGGTCAGGAAGCAGAAGTTGGATCCTGAGAGGGAACAGAAGTTACAGGCATCAGCTGTGGGCCTCCTGAGAAGCCACCTGAACTTGAATCGCCTTTTGCTTGAGGTAAGAGGACACTGGCTTGGCCTTTGCAGGCAGGTGTAGGTTTGCGCGGTTTGAACCCAGCCAAGTCGTAATCTTCATGAAAAGACACTGTGAAAAGCCTCATGAGTATCGGGAGAGGCACCCATTACATGTTGACTAGGTGAGAAAAAATCTGGGAGATTTATCTTCTTGGAGATAAAAGGAGTTCAAAAATGAATTTAGTAATTCTCAAAAAGGCTTTAGTAAGTTTCACTTTTTAAAAATGTTTTATCTCAAAATATTTGAGAGTAGGGCAGCAGGCAAGCATGACGTGCACACTGGTTTTTGTGCGTACACAGGTTGAATTTTTAAAATGGAGTTTTTGTTTGGTTCCTAGGTAGAGGGTCCGCCACATAAAAAAGTTTGTCTCAGCCCGTTGATTGATCGTGACAGCCCTGAGGCCTATGCTGATCTTTCTTGTTCGTTCATAGGTAAGTTAGAGCTTCATTTTCTTACTGTATTGAGTTATGGAAGAGCTTTATAAAGTGACCTTGATTTGCTTACAATAAGCAGAAAAAGAAATTCCCCCAGATAATGGTTTTCTGCTTATATGTGTAGTTAAGAACAAGTCATGGTTTTGAGACTTGTTTGGGGTTTGTTATGAGGCTGTTATTTAAAAAACTGTTTGCTCAACATGGGGCTCAGAAGCAGTAGGAACCAAAGTGTCCCTTGGAAAAACGTGGGCAGTAATGTGCACAGTCATGGAAGTGGTGAAAATGGGCTGTGCTGCGTGGGGGAGCATGAAGGAAACCATCAATATGTTTCTAGTGTCCACCTTTCAATTTGAGAAGGTGAGAGGGAAAGTTCTGTGGGAATAACAAAAAATAAGTTATTTTCTGATCATTCACATTTTTATGATGTAACGACTGTCATTTCAGGAAGAGATATGAACTAATTCATTAATTTGTTTTAAATTTCTATTGAAATGGCCTTAAATGATAAGCTTGGTAAAAATATATTGATTTTCACTGCCATTATTATATTTGAACTACACAAATTATGCATCATCATTCCAGGGAGCCAAGCTCAGCCACTTTCTTATATGGACTTTAGGATCAAGGCATAAGAATTTACATAAGAAGCTTTTAACCTTCACCACAGAGATATAAATAGACCCTTGATTCATGAATTTTTTAGTTTTTTCTGCTGAGGTAGTGGCTATCGTCCTTATTTGTACTTATATAGAAAAGATAAAAGCCTTGTAAATAAAAACAAATAACTTTCCCATGGATACACAGTGGAAATAAATGGCTAGAAATTAGCAATTTTTATCTTTCTACCATAAATTATTTTTTGATCATAGCAGTTGATAATTTCTAATACTGTCATTCGGAACCTTAATAACTACTAAAACAGTTTTCAGTCACATATTGGTCTGTTTTCGAGGACTTGAAAATAAATTGGCATGTACTACAGTTACCTATTTAAAAAAAAATTAGTTTTGGAAGTCAAATAAATTAGAAAGCAACATACTTATCGGCACTATCATTTTCCAGGCTGCTCAGCATTTCCCGCTTTATTGAGTGCAGACCAGAGGCTGGTCCTGGAGGCTGGTGGCTGCCTATGGACCCAGCACCCGGGTTCCACCTGGAATCCCACTTGTGCCCCACTGCCCACCAGGTGCTTGGCACAGCACTGGGAAAGCAGACCAGTTTCCACTCAGACATCATTGTAAAGTTGGTGGGAGCCGGGCTGTCTTTGACACTGAAGTAATTAGAAAAACAGGAATTCATTAAGAGCCTGCTGCTCTTAGTGTGTTGCGCTCCTTTAGAAAAAGTTGATAAAATTGTTAATCAGGATATATCTGCCACGCTCTCTCGTTTGTGTCCCACAGGACGCACAAATATGTGTATGAACTGTGGGCTTCAGATGCTGCCTCTTATGTTCTCATGAACTGTTTCAGTCATGGAGTTGTCTTAATTTTATACCTGTGTCTTTCCCTATAGAGATGTCTTTGAAAAGGCCATTTTCTGTGGTGCTACAATGTAAAGAAGGCATTTTAAACTACAAGTCTTCTGAAGTAGATTTTGTAGTATGTCTCCTGTGTTCTGTGTTGTCTTTAAGGTTCTGCTTTGCGGGATCAAGCCTTGCGGCTGGGGGTCCCAGTGGCAGTGCTGTCCAGCCAGATGGTCGCCTCTAGCATTGTGCAGATCTGTGAGGCGGGCGCAGAGGCCCCTCAGGGGGTGCTGTTGGACTCAGAGCAAAGAGTAAGATGCAGACCCATGGGGAAACTGTGCTACTTGTTGCTTTCAAGCTGCTTGGGAAAATGGGACGTTTCTTTAATATTGTTTCAGGTATTTGCTTATTTTTTAAAAGATTTAACTTCTCTTTTCAGAAAAAGCTATCTTCCTTGTTAGAGATCATTCGATACTTATTAGCACACAGTATGTTCTCCCGTCTGTCCTTCTGTCAAGAATTATGGAAAGTACAGGTAAATTTGAGATTGTAACTCTGACTCGGTTAGGGGTTTTCAAGCAGTGTGAAGCCATCAGAATCCCCGCGTTTCCTTAGGAATCCCACCATGCATCTCATTAATTATGGAGCGTGGGCGAAAGGGCTGAGCAAATAAATGCCTCTGGATGGGAAAGAAGTGCCTCAGTTACCGTATTTGTTAATATTCACCCAGCATTAGTAAAACTGATTAGAATAGAATATAGCCCAGAAACAAGTTCTGCCTTCTGACATAATTGTGAACAATTTCCCAGGGCAGTGTAGTAAACTAGAAAAATAGAATTCTAAAAATTATTCTTACCTGTCTTTTTTTGAAACATGTTGAATTCATTAGGCTTAAACTTTATGAACGATTGAAAGAACTCAAACTGCTCGGTTATTTAACAAGATCAGTAAGTTGAAAAAAGAGGAAAGAAAAACGGCAGGTGACGGTACCTCTGGTTTTCCCTCATTGTTTTATTTAGCATACACCCCAGAGCTCAGTTGATCTGTCAGGTGTTGGTATGGTCCCTACGCCAACAGGCATCTACCTAAGTGGGGGAAGGCAGCTGAAACACAGGTGCTCCCAGGGATGCAGAGGAGAGTGGGCCAGGATCTGATTAGACGGTCTGGAAGGGCTTCCTAGGAGAGCTGGAAGGGGCGTGGAGAGAAGGGGAGTGCGGGTTTCTGGTTGAGAAAGGTGATGGGGGCAGATGAGACACGAGCAGAATGGCTGGGGACTGGGGTGTCCGTGCTGCGGGAGGGAGGCCTTGCTGGGAGAGGCTGGATTGAGAGATGGAGGCCTGAT